TGGAGATAGTACACACAGATATAGCCGGTCCTTTTGATATACCATCGCTTAGTGGTAACAGGTACTATCTAACTTTTATTGATGATTTTAGTAGAAAATGTTGGATTTACATCTTGAAAGAAAAGTCAAAAGCGATGGAAAAATTGAAAGAATTTAAAGCAATGGCGGAAAAACAAAGCGGTCAATATTTGAAGATACTCAGATTAGATAGAGGAAGCGAATATACATCAAAGTTATTTGAAGAATTCTGCAAAGAGTATGACATCATCCATCAGCTGACAGCCAGATACACGCCACAACAAAATAGAGTTGCAGAAAGGAAGAACCGCACAATGCTGGACATGGCAAGAAGCATGATAAAAGGTAAGCAACTATCGAGAAATTTCTGGGTTGAAATAGTTCGATGTGCAGTTTATCTATTGAACAGATGTCCAAAAAAAAGTGTAAAGTATATGACGCCAAACGAAGCATGGAGTGGTCAGAAACCAGGAATTGGAGACCTAAAGATTTTTGGATGCATCGCATATGCCCACGTTCCTGAACAGACTAGAAATAAGCTTGATGACAAAGGAAAAAAATGTATTTTCATTGGCCATAATGAAAGAAGCAAAGCTTACATATTATATAATCCTCTTACCAAGAAAGTAATAATTTCAAAAGATGTTGAGTTCGATGAAGCAGACTATTGGAGATGGAGCAAAGAGGAAAATAAAGTTGAAGGACTATTTTTTAATGAAGATAAAGATGATGATCTTATCAATCAAGAGGAATAAGCTGATGATCAAGGTCCTCAACAAGCTGTATCATCATCGTCAAGCAGCAGCAGCGATGCCAGCAACATAATAGAAGATTCTGAAGCACTTCCCAAAGAAGTTCGAAGATCCACAAGAGAGAGATGAATGCCAGAAAGGTACAACGATTATGAATTAAATAATATCTCACTTTTCTATTTACTTCTGAATAGTGATCCAATTACATAAGAAGAAGCGGTTGAAGATGAAAAATGGAGGAATGCAATGGATGAAGAAATTGCATCAATAGAAAAAAATGATACATGGGAGCTAACAAGACAACCAGAAGGTCATAACCCAATTGGAGTAAAATGGGTTTACAAGACAAAGACCAATAAAGAAGGAAAGGTCGAGAAGCACAAAGCGAGACTAGTTGTCAAAGGCTATAAGCAAAGACAAGGAATAGACTATGATGAAGTATTTGCTCTAGTAGCAAGGATCGAGACCATCATACTTCTCACAGTAGTTACAACACAAAAAGGATGGAAAATTTATCAAATGGATGTGAAGTCAGCATTTCTAAATGGCTACCTAGAAAAAGAAGTTTATATTGAGTAACCACCTGGATACATTAAAAAGGGACATAAAGGCAAAGTTTACCGATTGAAGAAAGCTCTATATGGTCTGAAGCAAGCGCCGAGAGCATGGAACACGAGAATTGATGAATATTTCTAGAAAAATGGGTTCATGAAGAGTCTGTACGAGCATGCCTTATACACAAAGAAAAATGAAGAATGTGATATTATGATCGTGTTCTTATATGTGGACGACATGATTTTCACAGGAAATAATCCAGGTATGTTGAATGATTTTAAGAAAGCTATGACTAACGAATTTGAAATGACAGATATTGGAGAAATGTCATACTTCCTTGGAGTTGAAGTGAAGCAAATACAAGAAGGAATATTTATATCACAAAAGAAGTAAGTAGAAGAAATTTTAAGAAAATTCATAATGGAATATTGCAAGCCGGTAGCTACTCCAGCAGAACCAGGAATAAAATTAAGTGTGAATTCAACAAGAGAGCAAGTGAATTTGACGTTGTTTAAAAGCATCGTTGGAAGTCTAAGGTATCTGACTATCACACGACCAGACATAACATACGTTGTGGGATTGGTAAGCATATTCATGGAGAATCCGAAACTAGATCATTGGATTGCAGCAAAAAGAATCCTCAGATATGTCAAAGGTACAACAGATCATGGTTTGTTCTACACGCATTCATAAAATTCGAAGTTAGTTGTTATTCTGATAGTGATTATGGGGGAGACTTAGACGATCGGAAAAGCACAACTGGATATCTATTTCATATCGGCTCTGCAGCATTTTCATGGTCATCAAAGAAGCAACAAACGGTAGCTCTTTCAACATGTGAAGCAGAATACATAGCCGCAGCAGCGTGCACTTGCCAAGCAATGTGGTTAAAGAATATTTTGAACGAGCTAAATTTGGCACAAGAAGAACCAATTACAATCTATGTCGACAACAAGTCTACAATTTATCTTGCCAAGAATCCAGTCTCTCATAGCCGAAGCAAGCATATTGATACAAAGTATCACTTTATACGAGAGAAGGTGAAGAACAAAAATGTGGAGCTAATTTACTGCAGAACTGAAGATCAACTAGCATACATTTTTAAAAAACCATTAAGAGCATGCATATATATTCAACCGACTTAAAGAAAAGCTTGGAATGGAAAGTCGAGTTTGAGGAGGAGTGTTAGGAATTCAAACTCAATGTCGACGAAGATATTTTTCAATTGGTTGAAACGTGGCAGCAACAAAGCATGGCAACAATAAAAAATATTATCACATGGAAGGCAACTTGGCTGCACATGCAAAGCTAGATTGCAAACATGAATTTACATTGCATGAAGACAAGAGAAAGTGAGGTGGCAGAAAAATTGAGAAGCTTCAAATAAGTCGGTTTAGTTTCCTATATATATGCATGCAATTTGTAGCAAAGAGTGTGTGAGTAGTGAGAATGAGTAACGAGTGAGCGAAAGAAAAATAAGAGTGAAGAAAAATATTAGAGAGAGAATTGAGAGAGAGCTTAGCAAAACTATAAGGTAATTGTAAACTAGTCGCAGCTAGTATTGCAATATTGTAATATTGAGGTAGTGTCTTTGTAACGTATTTTATTTCGTATTAATAAAAAGTTCGAGTTATAAATTATAGTGAGCTCATCTATGCTTCCAATAGGATTGAGTCGTTTGCGGGTCAAGACGAGAATCCTAATACGGGTTGGATCTATCTCGATTCCTTACACTATAATATATTCTTTTTTGAAGTTTTATTTCCTCATTGAAAATTTTCTTTTCTCTTTATATATTTTTTTAAATAATCTGAATAATTATAAAATAGTATTTATTTAGAGTTTCTCTAATATTTTATCGACATACTTGCTTGAACTCAGAATATTTAAGAAGAATAATACCCTCTTTTACTACTGGAGTCATTTTTGAATGATTTAAAGTATATTTTATCTAAAATTTATAAATCCCATTGTTAGGTGCACAAGCAAGTCACCTTAAGATTATTGTTTTCTCGGAGATTTTAGGCGCGTGTGTTTTTTACTTATAAAAATATATTTATATAAGAACTATCAACTATGTATATAGTTAAATAAATATAGATTTTGAACCATAAAGTGATTTTAATGATTAAAGATAGTGTTTTTCTTCATAGAAATTCTGGATTCAAACATATGCATTTACAAATAATATTTTAGAGAATAATATTTTTTATATAAAAAATGAAACTAATACATGATATATTTATAAAAGTTCAAAAATATAATTTTATAATTGATTAATCTAATAATTTTATTATTTTGGAACATAAAATTAAAATTTATCATTTATAAGATAGAATGCGATTTTGTCATTATTTAGAACTAAAATTTTAAAAGGAGTTAAATTAATATTCTTATCATTTTAGGGACAAGGACGCTACCAACTTTAACTTTGTCATTGTGTCCAATAATCTCGTTCAATTATATTTAGAATTAGAATTTATTGAACGATAAAACAAATATTGTTTTTCTGAATTCCGTGCAATTGTGAATGTATTGTCGATAAACTAAGAAAAATTATGAAGAAATACTCTTTTAATTATCCCATACTATCATAAATATTATTTTCACTTTTCAATATTCATAAGACTCAAACTAAAAAGATATAGGGGTTTTCTTAGTTATTCAATTTGTGCGGACAGTTGGGCGAGAATCCATCAAGGAAAGAGGTTGCTGCAATGTTGAATCAATGTATGTACATTCAAAGTCAACCCCTCCCTTGTTTTACATATGAACAAAATCCCCTATTATACACATTTTTCTCTTATGTACTCCATCTTCATACTTTGCCTAATATACCTTCCTTCTCCACAACCCTACGCGCCACCCATTCACTAACATTTTTCTTTCAACCCAAGTCTAAAACGTCTCTTGCATGCTTCATTTGCAGAACAAGAAAAGGCTGTGTCCTTTTAATCTCCTTTCTTTATCGCCATAAATTCTATGTTGTCTTTATCAATAGTTTAACTTCAACTTCATTCAACCTATCGAATGGCATAATATTAAAAGAGTATGTTATTCTTTTTAAATGATTCGTGTTTGAACAGTTGAGTTTGCAGGGTATGTACACATTGTCAATAGACTAAAAAAATTCTAAACGGATACTACTTTATAATTAATTACTCCAGACTATTTAAAAAAAACTTCAATTACATTTAGTCTAATTGAGATTTTAGTCCTTACAAATGCTAAATGTTGTGATTTCATTCTTTAATATGAAAATCAATGTGGTTTATTTGTCTTTACATCAGTGATTTGGTTAAAATTAATAACGTTATTAATCGTTATTAATAACGATTTAGCTTCATTGATCAATTTTGGCCAATGAATTGTTGAAAATATACTATCTTAATTAGAGTGTTGAAAAGCTTTGACAGAAAGGGGGGGGGAGCATATGGGATTATGCCCTTTCATACGCCATTAAAATCGGCTTTCTTGAAGAGGTGCCTAAGGAAGTAGTGAAAGTAACGCGTACACAGATTTCATTTCTTAATTAACTTTATTAATATTAAACATTTGGTCCCATGTGACCTTCTCGTTGACTACCTATCATTCATTTTTTTTAGTATATATATACTGTGCCATATGCCATAGGATCCATTGCCCTTCGCCGCCACCTTCTACGGCACTACTCCATCTCTCTCTCTTCTTCAAGCTCGAATTTTTCAAAGCATTTACGTTCTTCATTTGTAGGTAAAAAATGGGATTTGTTCGGAATCCGAATATGAGAAGTGGGGATTTCTTGGAAGGAATGTTTAGTGATTACGTCGGAGGAAAAGCAAAGGTTAAAGCTCCGAAAAGCGCCTCCACTCGGCTTGTCACGGCTCTCACCTGCCTGCAATTCGTCTTTGCGGTGTATGCTACGTTCCTTTTGTATTACATGAGTCCGGCGGTTGATTTAAGGACGAAACCGGACTTTACTTGGGCCACAAGGATCGCAAGGAACATGAAACAGTTGATTGTCACCCCGCACGTTCTCAGCCGGTACCAAGACGCCAGCTCTTCGCTCATTGGAGCTGAAATCCGTCCGATTATGCCCTCCGATGTTTGCGAGCACGAGAAGATTGATTTCTTGCAGAAGCAATCAAACGATGCTCAAATGATCAAGCTGAAGAGAGAGTTGTACGATGAGGTACTGGATTTCCAGAGCAAGACCATCGGTACCGAAACTCTAGCCGAGCTAATGGCAATGAAATCGAGGTGGGATATTCACGGTGTAACACCACCGAAAGTGACGGTGCTGCTGAACCATTTCAAGAGGAAAACACTCTGTTCACAGCTTGATTCTTTGCTGCAACAGACGCTTCCATTCCATCAGGTTTGGGTACTGTCATTCGGGAGCCCGAATGAGCAGTCTCTAAAACAAATCGTCGACAGCTACAACGATTCGAGGATCAGCTTCATCAGTTCGAGCTACGATTTCAAGTACTACGGCAGGTTCCAAATGGCTTTACAAACAGAAGCCGATCTCGTATACATCCTCGACGACGACATGATTCCCGGGAAGAAAATGCTACAGATTTTATCCCATGTAGCAGGGACCGACAAGTACAAGAACTCGGTTTTGGGAAGCATAGGCAGGATCCTACCTTTCAGACAAAAGGATTTCACATTCCCAAGCTATAGGAAATTCAGATCGAAAGAGGCTGGACTTTACTTACCCGACCCTGCCTACGATATCACCATCGATAAAATCGTGCAGGTCGACTTCCTTTCGAGCTCTTGGTTCTTATCTGCTGAGCTTGTCAAGACACTTTTCATTGAAACGCCTTTCACTTTCATGACTGGTGAAGATCTTCACCTTAGGTACGTTTTTACCATCACTGAAAACTCTATAATCATTGCTCTTTACTGAATATGAAAATCTTTTCATTATTATAGCATGTGTTCCACTTTCATTACCATGTTTTAATCTTATTTGAGGAAATATTGATTACAGAAGAGAGTTCCCTACATGTTTGATGAAATGTGTTATAAAAAATCTTCTTAACTTATGCTAAAAATATATTAGTTACGATTTGGTCACTTTTCTGGATATAGTCAATCTCTTTCCAGGAAAAAGGTGGAATATTTTATTAGTTTCAGTAATGGATGGATACTCAGTATCATGTTTCCACTACTGATATTTCTACCATCACTTATTTGTCTGTTCTAAATTATTTTGTTACGTATAATACATGTTTAGTTGTATGGCTGGGAATGGCACTTACTTTTATGGTTCTGTATAGCATTATCTAGACATCATTAAACTATATATTAACCAGTCTTCATATTCTTCTTGAAGTATAGGTATTTAATTTCTTGTTTGTTACATATGTGAACATGGATATTAGGATATAAAAATAGTGAGCTGGTGACAATTTTCAAGCTTCTGATGGTATCATAATTTTTTTGCAGCTATCAGCTTCAAAAGTACAGAAATGCAGGCTCATTTGTACTTCCAGTTGACCCAACTGACAAGGAAACTTGGGGTGATAGTGAACATAGGCTTGCATATGTCGCAGAAACCACTGTGATCTTCAAGGACATTGTCCAAGTAAGGGATGATCAATGGTGGAGGGCATTAACTACTGGTTATGTGACTCAGTGGGCTGCAATGAATTCTCAAAAGATTGATGCTCTCTTTTATGCTCACTCGGTCGATGAGGTTAAGGCACTTGCACCATTGCTCGAAAAGTTCAGGTCCACTTTTGGGAAGAAGGCTTACATTGTAGTCTCTGGGGACGATTTCTGCCCTTGTGAAGATGCTGCTGCAGCTCTGAAATGGCCGAAGCTGGTTTGTAAAGAGAGAAGGTTTAAGATTTTCGATTTGCATATGGGAGCGATTTCGGGAACATCGAACTCCGAGGTCCCGGTTCTGCAAGCGGTGTACTCTAGCATGAGAGGGCTGATAAAAATGCATAACCCCAGTGTGGTGATCACATTGGCAGACATTGATTCCAATGTGAAGAAAGCCTTGAAAATGGCATCCGAGACAAATGCAAACGGTACTGCACTGGTCCTTTTACCTAGATCTTCGGTCTCAAAGGTTCTATGGATGGCTGATCTAAGATCAACTGCATTACCGAGTAAGTATATTTTATACTCACACATATATATAATTGATGAACAATCATCTAAGCGATCAATTGTGAATTGCAGATTGGAACCGGATGAGGATATCTATCAACATAATTACTCAAAACCGGGCTCAATCATTAACAAGGCTTCTTAAATCTCTGAGTGATGCATACTATATCGGAGATGAGATTCCTATCAGCTTCAACATGGATAGCAAAGTGGATGCGGAAACCATTAACCTTGTAGATTCATTTGAGTGGCCTCATGGTCCTAAAACTTTGAGAAGGAGGATCATTCAAGGGGGGCTAATTCGAGCAGTTAGCGAGAGTTGGTACCCTGCATCTGATGATGACTACGGTCTACTTCTTGAGGACGATATCGAAGTCTCCCCATACTATTACCTTTGGATTAAATATGCTCTATTAGCATACCATTACGACCCTCAAATCTCCCTCCCCGAACTATCGTCGATCTCTCTTTACACTCCTCGATTAATCGAAGTCATGAAGGAAAGACCGAAATGGAATCCGACTGAGTTCTTCAAGCGCATTCACCCGAACACACCGTACCTCCACCAGCTACCTTGTAGTTGGGGTGCAGTTTTCTTCCCCAAGCTTTGGCGGGAATTCTATGTTTATATGAACATGAGATTCACCGAAGATGCAAAAGCAAACCCAGTTCAAATCCCAAAGTCTAGAACAAATGGTTGGCAAGCTTCATGGAAGAAGTTTCTCATTGACATGATGTATCTCAGAGGATACGTTAGCCTTTACCCCAATTTCCCAAACCAAGCTAGCTTTTCGACGAACCATATGGAACCGGGGGCTCACATAAGTGCAAAGGACAATGTTGTAAGGCACGACAAGACGGATTTCGAAGTCCCATTGTTGATGGAAGATTTTAGGCCATTGTTGCCAAATGGGAAGTTACCACCGGCTTCGAAGCTGCCATCACTTAACCTTTTCAACCAACCTGTTTCATTGAAAGGGCTTAAAACAGCCGGAGCCAAGTTGGGTCAAGATGTTTTACGATGTGACAATGCGACGGAAATCGTGACGGTCGATAACGTGACCGGTCTGCCACAGCGATGCTCAAAGTTCATTTGATCGAAAATCGTTAGTTATTCGGTTATTCTTTTTCAGAAAAATGAAGATCAATTTAACATTTTTGATAAAGCTTTCACTCTGCAGATATATAGTCACTGGAGGAAACAGTGGGAGACAAAGGTTTAACATTGTTTCTTCCTTGATTTCAATAGTTTGATGTTATTCAATTAAACCCAAAATTTGTATTCCATGTATGTTAATAATTCTTCAAATATATCCAAAAATCCAATAAAATATAAAAAAATTAAATTATATGCTAATTCAAATAAATTTTAAATATTTTAAATTTGTACTTTCATTAAATTATTGTCATTTTTAAAATAAAAGAGGAAAAAATATAACAATATAAGGAATTAGTAATCTTTCCTTTCCTTTTTAGTGAATTTTTAACCAAAAAATAATGATCTTAAGTGAAAATTAGATGTGAAATTGAAATTAGGCTACTCAATAAATACAATAATACTAAAAATTCTTACAATTTCTATTTAATTCAATTTAAAAGCACATTTAATTAATTTAATTCGATTCTTAATCCCCTTTAAACAACTAAAACCGGGTGTACTTTGTCCAATTTTTCTCTTTCTATTTATAAAATTTCGTGTGAAAAGAAAACTCTCATTTTCTCTGTTTCCTCTCAGTTATATGATCAATTTATCACCAAGAAAAGGCAGGTAATGCTCTATCCCTACCATTGTTTTGATTGATTGATTTTTATTTTATAAAATTAATTACTTCATGGCAAATTTCCATAATTTTAGTTTTATCTTCTTGGAATTTGAAATTCTCCATAAAAGAAAGGTATTTTGACCCTTAAATTCAAAATGTTTTGTTTTGTCTTTCAATGTGATCTGTTTAATATGAAAATGAAGAAATTGACTGACATGGCTTAACTTCTTTTCCTTGCACATAATAAAAATATCTTTTTTTAAGAGAAATGTTTTGTTTCTAATAGCTTGTTGAATTTGTATTATGTTGAAAGTAAATGAGGCTTTTAATTTCTATCGTAGCATTCCTTTCCTGCCCGGATTTGTTATATACCTATGCTCTTAGGCACCCGCTGCATTTCTTTATTCGGATTCTGATACCTTTTCTGATATATATATTGAAGCTCCAAGGATCATACTAATCTGAGGTCGAGCTTGGTCGAAGATAAAAGTTGCATTGCTTCTATATTCTTGAAGAATGCTCGTAAGGTGCTTATGGGAGATCACAGTTCTTGTGGGCGTCTAACCGTTTAAATCGAGCATATTGATATGGGAAGCATGAACCGCAGGTTACGACATGTTGTTTTTCGATATTAGAAACTTCTGGTACAAGAAATTGTTTTGAACCTTACAGCTTTCTTATGTGTGGATTTTGTAGGAAAAACTGTAGTGCCAGGTTCATTATCACAACAACTATTGGAGCTGTTTTCGGACTTTTTGTTGGTGTTTCCTTTCCATCTGTTTCCCTTGACAAGGTGCGTTTGCTTTCGTTTCTATCTAGCTATGCCGTAGTTGCTCTATCATTCTTTTGATTTATTCCTAATCCCCGCAGATTCCAAACTTACCTTCAAGCCTTGGACTGTCTGTTGATGTAGCTGCATCTAATAGCAAACAGTTCTATATTATCAAATCTTCCGAAACAACTCGAAGCAATATTTCCAAGGTGCTTGTTCTTACTCTCTGTACCTTTTTCTTGCAATCATTTGTTATTCGTAAAGGGAAGATTCATCGATGCTTTTCGGATTATATTATAAAATTATCAGGGAGTGTGTTTCGTTTGCGCCTATGTTCTTGAACCATTATAATCTGTTTTCCAGCTTCTTGTGTTGAGCAGCACTGTTTGTTTAGAATTGCAGCACGGTGTTTGGTTTCAATCTTGTTTCTAAAATTGCTTTCTGCTTCTATGTTTTCCTAGATTTACGTTCCAACAAATCCTCGTGGTGCAGAATCATTACCTCCGGGAATTGTCGTTCCAGAGACCGACCTTTACCCTCGCAGATTATGGGGTGATCCTAGTGAGGTATGATGCACAGAACTATAAACATAGAAATATGGTAAACATCGTCGCCATTTTGGCACTAGGAAACATATGCATTAGGCCATTTTGGCACTATATCACTCTCATTTTCAGCTGTGCTAAAATATAACTCATGCGCCCCATTACTCTTGGTCGATTGGTGTCTCTTATCACGGTTTTTCCTTAAATCTGCAGGATTTGAAGAAGAAACCAAAGTATTTAGCAACATTTACAGTTGGTATTGACCAGATGGTTAATATTGATAAATGTGTTAAAAAGGTTAGAGACAATGGAACAGTTTTTCCTTGTAATCTCGATTTTCTGGGTTTCTGACACTTGTATTCTTACATGCTGAGGTAGTTTTCTGAGGATTTTCAAATTTTACTTTTTCATTACGATGGCCGGACCACTGAATGGGACCGACTGGAGTGGTCAAAGAATGCAATCCATGTTAGTGCAAGGAAACAAACAAAATGGTAAGTTTTACTCCTCCCTTGTTACATTAGCTTAGCACTTGATAATGTAGCTGCCCCTTCTCATTTCCTGCTCTTATGTACTAGGTGGTATGCAAAAAGGTTTTTGCATCCGGATATTGTTTCTGCTTATGAATATATATTTATCTGGGATGAAGATCTGGGTGTGCAAAACTTCAATGCAGATAGGTTTTTCTTTTCAACCGCTTATATTTTCAAACTTTATTTCGACATTTATATATGTTTCTCTTTCTAATTTGCTCTGCACATGTTACCAGATATATCAAACTTGTCAAGAAGCATGGCCTGGAGATCTCACAACCAGGTTTGGAGCCCAATTATGCACTGACATGGCAGATGACAAAGAGGAGAGCTGACCGAGAAGTTCACAAGTAGGTTCTGTCTTGTGTGCACACCATCAACAACCATGCTTCTTTTTTCTCCTCTTAACTTTGAAGTCTGTGATTCGACTTGGTTCACAGGTTTACTAAGGAGAAACCTGGCTGGTGTAGTGATCCACGTTTTCCACCATGTGCCGCGTATTCTCTCTCTCTCGCTCGCTCGCTCTCTTTCTTTACAATTTAATGGAGTAATATGTCTGTTTGGAGAATCATAGTTGGCAATGCTTGAGCAGTATCCTTGTTTTGTGAATTAGTAGTGCATTCCACTTTTAACATCCCTTAGACAGGATTTCTTCCTTTCTCTCGGTGCATTTACTACTCTTTACTTTCTTTCAGTTTCGTGGAAATTATGGCGCCGGTATTTTCTCGGGAAGCTTGGCGATGCGTATGGTATTTGATTCAGGTAAAGCATGCTTAAGGATTTTGTAGACTTAGGCCACATTGTTTAGAATATGTACATGCCTGCAGATACATTTCCTACTGCATCCTGCCTCCCAACATAAGTACCTATTAATATTTGTGCTTAATTTTGAACGACTTCCTAGTCGTCTTATGTGATTCGGTTCATTCCCATAACACCTTTCACAATCAATTCCCTCCATGCTCAACTTCTCCGATGAAACAGAACGAAGACAGATTAGGAGCATACAACAATGCTATAAATTTACATAATATCTTGGTACAATTTCTTGAGCTCCTTTTTTTATACTCTACCTAAATGCTTAGCGAATCATGTTCATGTAGAATGATTTGGTGCATGGATGGGGGTTGGATTTTGCTCTCAGAAGATGTGTTACAGTAAGTGGTTTCTGCTTATTTTTGCCGTTTCCTTTCTGATATTCATTGGTCTCCGACTATGTTGCTCTGATTCTTCAAGAATTCTCCAAGTACTCATATCTGACACATGTGGCATTTTCTTCTCCGTAGCCTGCCCATGAGAAAATTGGCGTTGTAGATTCAGAGTGGATAGTTCATCAAGTGATTCCTACTCTCGGCAACCAGGTGAGTCCTCGTCGGCTTGGCAGATATTTCGGCTGTCATATATGATGAATGATGTTTTGGCTATAGTCCCCATATATTTTCCTTGTACGTTTCCTTCAAATTATCTATTGGATGAACATAAGCTTTGATCTATATCTGGTTGCCTGTGACTATGAGTTTCGAAACAACATGTGTATCACGGTAATCCTGATTATATTCTCTTTACTATGCGTTCTGTCAAATTTCAGGGTGAACCTCATGCCGGGATATCTCCTCGAGACGCAGTATGCATATTTACGAATTCCAACATCATTTTATGTACCTTAAATCTCTAAACCGAACTCATATTTCTTTTCTTTTCCGTACACAGGTTAGAATAAGGTCGAAAATCGAGTGGGCAATGTTTCAGAAGCGAATCGCGAATGCGGACTTGGAATACATAGCTCAACTTACAAATGCAAAGGGATAAACTTTTTTTACCATCTTTTACCCCCAACCAACCCTTATTGGCTTGAACTTTGGGTGACCTTTTTTCCCCCTTAAACTGCAAGAGGATGGACTCATTTCCCTAACCCACACTTTCTTGTATCTCAAGATTTTTACAGCTATAAAAAAAGGGGTGATTTTTTTTACCAGTTCTTCCTCATCAAGAACTATGATGATTGTAACATTTCCATAAAGAAATTTGTCGGTTGAGTTTTTGTTGTCACCGAAAGCTGGTGAGTGAACCACCAAAGTGCAAATTTATGTGTTCATAAGGCAGTGAGGAGCTTTCAGCTGGTTTCATCAAATACTTAAAATATTTATCATTAGATCAAAAAGGACAACAGACAACGAAGAAGAAAAAGCACACATAGTTTGTCTTGTAATGAAACATTGATCTGTCGACTCGGAACTGAATACTTTTTTCTGCAAATGATTAGCAGAAACCTGGAATTTCCCCTTTCTTGAGTAAATTCCTTATGCATCTTGCAAGGGCTTTTCCCCCCTTAACACACCCCTTCTAACACAGAAAGAATCCATGTCAGCATGATTAGTTAACTGGAATAGTTAATGATCAGCTATTTAGACTAATTGATGAAATTATAAAAGAAGAGGGATCAAATTAAATCGAACTAAATATCAAATTAGAGCAAAATAGAGGGACCACAATCGTAAAAATAGTCAAAGAATATAAAAATAGTAAAGAAAGGGAATTATGCAGCCTGCTAACGGCTAAAGCATCTTTAGAAAGGGAAGTAGTTGAGGCATCATCACCACAAAACAATATACACAACAAAACCGTATGTTGGGGAATATTTATTTTGCCTGGTTGGTGTTCATGAGTGGAAATGAAGTCTTTTTTTAATTATTGTCACCAAACTCCAATATTGAGTATCGAGGATGGAAACCCATTTTTGCTTGCATTGGGGGGTACCCGTCATTTTCATCTAAGAAAATCTTCATCCTACCTTCCTGCCTTGTGTGCCAAGGTTCTCATCGGTCAACATTTATCCCTAAATGCCTGAGAATGTAGGTGAGAGCCTGATCCAGTTAGAGTTGAATCGAATCAAAAAATATAATTTTTTAAGTTGAATCGAATTTTGCTAACCCTAATTATACGGATTGCTTTGGAAGATTCCACCATTGGGGGTAGGATTTACCACTTGCTTTTGAAAGCTTCAAGTGATTTCATCAGTTTGGCCACCAAAATGCATAGTGAAAACTCTGGAAAAAGGAATGCCATTATAGATTTTAGGATTCATTCTGAATATGTTGGAATTTTTTAAGATTGACGATTCTAAATCTATTAGATGTGATTGATTGTATGAACGGAGGTCGTAAAAATTTGATAAGCATGAAGGGTTCGATTTTTTTTCCCTTTTGAAATTTGATTTTTTTATTAATATTTTTCTTTTGAATAAAATTTAGGTTAAACTACAACAGATACCATTTAACTTTAGATGATGTATCATTTATATTATTAAACTTTTAATTTCTTTAATTATATAAAACGACATTGTTTTAGGCGTTGAACTTTAGGGATGTATCAATTTTACCAATAAACTTTTAAACAATTCCATTTTTTGCACAACACTTTTTTGGCCGTCACCGGCAACCAATTAGGGCCTGTCACTAGTTGTCTTTCACGACAAAATTGATACCAAAACGTTCGTAGTACACTCCTCTTTCTTCTCATAGGATTGTTTTTCCATAAAACACACTCAAAATCAATGAAATTAAACAAAAAATCTACTATTTTTAGAGGTTTGGAGACTTTCTTAGATTTGAGGGATTTGTGGCGTTTGTTCGAAAATTCGAAAGGTGAGAATAAATATTTTGAAAAGACAAACAACATACATCAAAACTAACATCATCAAATGATCATAAAAAAAGATCAGAGTATTAGCACGTTGAATTTTTAAATGGATTTTCGTCGATTTTAAGTGAGTTTCATAAAAATCAATCCTATGAAAAGAAAGAGGAGTGAAATACGAACATTTTGGTATCGATCTTGTCGTGAAAGTTAACTTGTGACGAGCAGTGATTAGTTGTCAATGACGACTGAAAAAGTATAGTGTCAAAAAGTAAATTGCTTAAAATTTTAGTGAAAAAATTGATACAATCTTAAATTGAATAACTAAAATGACATCATTTCGCATCAATAGCTGGCATCAAAATGATGTTTTATCCATGTCATCACAGTGACAGAATAGTCTGTTCATGTCACCGTGTCGTTAAAATTTAATGTCATGAAAACATAATTGAAGTTAAAACCAAAGTTTAGTGCTATAATTGAAGAAATTGAAATTTAAATAGTATAAACGATATATGACCTAAAGTTGAGTGGTATATGATGTAGTTTATCCTAAAATTTATTGAAAAGAAAATAGAAAGTAGTTTTGGAAAGATAATATAAATCGGGGTAAAAGAGAGAAGGGAGTGTAGTTATATGATCCCAACAGCAGTCCAAAATGTAATGGTTTCTTCCTTGCTTAAATTGATCGTCAGCTCCCTTCCGGAAACTGAACCAGCGTTAGGCACCAACCCTCTTAGCAATCTAACCTTTTTCTGAAAAAAGAAGCCTTATATTCTCAAACAAACTCTTTGTTTTCTTCAGCTCAAAAAGCTGCCTCAACACACCATTTTCCCAGTCGCTGCTCTGTAAATAACCTCGTTTTCTTATTTCTACTCTTTTCAAAGGTCTGGGAATTTCTTTAGCTTTGTTTCGTTGAATCTCCATCTCCTTAAACTCAAACCTAAATCTACATGCTTTACAAGATAACGTTTATTCATGCATCATTCCATTGGCTTTCTTTTTATATATATATACATTAATTCATGCACAGTTTTTTTCATTAAATTATGTTTAATATATGGTAAGGAATTAATATATCAAATTTTTGTTTAATTTTTTTATGGCCATAATAAATGAATGAACACTTACCACAATTCTATACTTCCAAATATGATTGTTTCTTATTTACTTTGTAATATTGTATATATATATATGTTTTTTTTCCTTTCAGTAAAGATGGGAGAGATTTCAAGCTTCCAAATGGGTGTTATTGGTGCCCTGTTTCTGTCAGTTGCATCATCTGTCTCCATTGTCATATGCAACAAAGCTTTGATGAGCAATCTTGGCTTCCCTTTTGGTAATCTCGTCATTCTTTTCATTCAGTGGAGTTAAGAACGTATAAAGTTGATTTTGTTTTGATTCTCGCAGCTACAACACTCACGAGCTGGCATCTTATGGTAACATTTTGCACCCTCCATGCGGCGCAACGCTTCAACCTGTTCGATAATAAACCCATCGACATGAAGACTGTGGTGCTCTTTGGCATCCTCAATGGCGTTTCCATCGGACTTCTCAACTTGAGCCTTGGGTTCAACTCCATTGGCTTCTACCAAGTGGATTTTGATTCCAAATATATTACTTTTTTAGCCCATAAATTTGGGTTTTCATTCTTTTTGGTACCTCTTTTTGCAGATGACCAAGCTTTCAATCATACCGTTCACTGTGTTACTGGAAACCATCTTCCTAAACAAGCAATTCAGGTTCCTTCTTTTTGCCATTTGCTTACGATATTTGAGCACTTTTGACTTTTGAGAGTAAAAAGGTAACCACAAATGATGTGTTCTACTCTATGCAGCCAAAAGATAAAGCTGTCACTCTTCCTTTTATTGGTTGGAGTTGGCATTGCCTCTATCACTGATCTCCAACTCAATTTTGTTGGCACCATCCTTTCTCTCCTTGCCATCGTTACCACATGTGTTGGCCAAATAGTATCCTTTTTTTTTTACTGCCGTTGCTTTCTTTTTAAATTGTATTTTTATTGTTGGGAACAAATTGGTCTAGTAGGCCATTAGCGGTTCACCTCTTTCGATTTAGGTAGAGAATAGTAGCCGATGACAAGTCAACCGTTGGCCGGTATATTTCTTAATGGGAGATAGAGAGACTGCGTATAGGAGAAGACACATGGTGTAGATTAAGTCTTAAAGAGATAAAGTGTCTCGTTTTCGGTCTTTCCTCGAGATATAAATACTCCTATTATAGGGTGATTGGTGTCAGGCCTACGATAACAATAGCTGTCAAATTTGTCTCTAATGAAATACATAGAGTTGTTAGAGGTTCAATCATGGAGCTGTCATCATCATAAGTAATACGAGACTCTGGATAAACAGTGAACGAATGGACAATTTTCAAGGAACATCTCCTGAAGATATCTCCGGAGATACAACAATTTTAATTTAACATTTCAAAAGCATTGTTGTGATCTTCAATTCATCCCTTGAAAGCTTTTATTCTTAACTTGATCAACATAGCTGACAAACACCATACAAAAGAGGCTGAATGTATCTTCAACCCAGTTGCTGTACCAATCAGCCCCATTTCAAGCAGCCATTCTTTTTGTCTCGGGTCCTTTGGTCGACCAGTTCCTGACCAAACAAAATGTCTTTGCTTTCAAATATTCCCCTATTGTCTTGGTAAGCAAGGACCAACGCAGAATTTTATATTAAGAAAGATAAAAAATCATAATTTGATAATGGAGTTTGAAACATTTTTGCAGGGATTTATCATCCTCTCATGCATAATCTCAGTATCTGTAAACTTCAGCACATTTCTGGTTATCGGCAAGACATCCCCCGTGACATATCAAGTTCTTGGCCACCTCAAGACTTGCTTAGTTCTTGCCTTTGGCTATAGACTGTTGCATGACCCTTTCACCGAGAGGAACATCATTGGAATCTCGATTGCCATTTTTGGGATGGGCTTGTATTCTTATTTTTGCACCCAGGAGAACAAAAAGAAACAGGCTGATCCATTGGGGTCTCAGGTAATGTATTCGTACATTAGACGTGTTCAAGAATCGAATTATTTACCAAAATTCGAAATTGATCAAATATTTAGAAAGGGTTGGGATAAAAATATTAGACTTGAAATTCATGTTAACGAATGTTTTTGTTTTGATTAATCAGATGAAAGATAAGGATGGAACACCATATCTGGG